ATAGATTTTGTAGTAATGCATTTATTAATGCCAATGATTTATATGGTATTAATAAATAATTATATCAGATATAGTTTTATATAAATTTGTTTGTGAATAATTTCGATTAACCATTTCGATTAACCAATGACATTTTTGCAATATCACGGGATGATCTACAAAAATCAGCCAATTACAATGAAAGCCCGCTATGCTGGGTGGCTTGTATTTTGAATTTATTTAGTCAATTCTTGGTACAACCGGTATAGGCTAAACTATTTAAGTAAATATAAACGAAAAAAGAAAATTAATCAAATCAATCGAGCATTATCGTTATGAATAAAAAAACTTTCTTGAAAACACTTATTACTATCAAAATAAGATAACTGCGCGACGTTGTCACGCAATACCAGGAACGGAAGATGTGCGGAGTATTGCATTTAGTATATTTGATATGCATAAGCAGTGGTTGTATTTGATAAAATAAACTTAGCCGACTGAGTCAGTCTATTTTTCAAAAATTGACTTAGCCGATTCTTAGTTATGTACTGTATATAGGAATGGTCGGATGGTTTAGGAAAACTTGACAATGAATATCTTTATAATAGCGTATTTGCAGAAAAATTCGGAATATAAATTATTTTGCATAGTAAAATCAATTACTTTGCATAGTCAGCTATAGGGCTGTTAATCGGTCCGACTAAAGCCGCCGGTCCTGCGGTCCGTCTTAGTACTGGGCCAGTCTGGTCATTTTTAGTACGGTGTAAAAGTGCGAATGATGCACTGGGTCTAGATAATACAACTATACACTACTAAAACTCACTAAACTACTCTAACCAGAACACCACAACTAATAAAACCCAAACCCTAATAATGGTAAGGCAACGATCGAGGCGTGGAAAGACTTGGTCCGAGTAACCAGGGTTAATTGGGTTCTTAGTAATAATGTCGGATTAGAGCTCTGGATTACGTCACGAATCTATTATTCAGAATCACGGGATTTGGTCACGAGTTCCTTTCGTAATTACGGATTTCACTTATCGGGGGTTTAGTAGAACAAACACTTCTACTCCAAGAACTTAGAAGGTTCCGAACTCTAAGAGTTATCCACAAGTTAAGTACACTGATTTCTTTAACTTGGAACTTTGAACTCCTCAAAGCTGTCTTTATTCAGGAAGAGTCTGACGATATATATATCTTTTTTACATATGTGATATAATAACAAGAATACTAACGATAATAACTATTCTAACGATACTAGCTATTCTACCGATTACTGTTATTACTATAATTCAGGTAATTATAACGATTACCATAATAACATCTATTTTAAGAATCCCGATGATCCCAATAATACTAACTATTATTATTGTTCGTCATGGAACCTATTCCTTCTGGTGAAGGAACAATTTCCATGGCCAACAATACCTCTGTGCTCTACGAAGTACAGTATGGGATAGGAGCCGCGGAAAAAGCCACCTGAAATCATGTGAGCAGCTTTGCGAGAATCGTGAATTTGGAATTTGGGTCTTACACTCTGGGTGTGGCGGGAGGGCCGTAGCTAGACACAAAGTCGAGCAGAAAACTCAAGAACAAAGAAATCAACAGATCATCGAGTTACCCAAATACATATACGGACAGATTCACACAGTGACTCATCGTCACATACAGATCAAGATCCTCACTGTGACTGATCGTCACATGTAGGTCCAGTGACTCACAATAATGTCCCGCCTTGTGACTTCGTTCACAAGCGGGTCATTATTATTGTTCGTTATGGAACCTATTCCTTCTGGTGAAGGAACAATTTCCATGGCCAACAATACCTCTGTGCTCTACGAAGTACAGTATGGGATTGTTGGCGAGGATCGTATGAGGGAATACTATTTGGGTTCCGACCTGCCCAGTTCAGCTATACACAATGCCCTAGATCACGGGCTACTGCTCTAATCTGGACCCGACCCAATTCCTTACATTTAGGCTGCGCACCCTGCTCACATTTACATTTATGTCAGGTATTTCCTAACCCACTTTCTTTATTTTATTTTCTGGGCTGCATGCCCTATTTACAATTTGTTTATCAGGTATTTCCTAACTATCTCTATCTCTTTCACTTCATTTTCTGGGTTGCGTGCCCCACTCATACTCCTTTCCTATTTCCAATTCAATTCAGAAAGAAAAAAAACGTTGCACTTCATTACATTCCTTACATGTATCATCTTTTCTTCTTTTTTTTTTTTTTTTTTTTTCAGAAACCCATATGGCTTGAAGTACCCAACTGGGCGGTTGACACTGTCCTCAGGTACAACATCACAGCCTTTGAGTCCCATCCTCCAATAGCCCGGATTTGCGTAAGAGTTATCCCCACCATCATTGCTGCGGTTGCTCCCCCAATCCTTAGTAAATGGGCTGTAAATCTACCGTCTAAACCCGCATGCTCTGCAAACCGTTTCACCACTGAGCCAATTGCTGCCACTGAGATTTTCTTTCCCTGTCTTGATAGAAACAATGGTGCTTCCGGGCTCATCACCGGCTGAATTTCCAGATACCGCTTTAGGAGCCTAACCAGGCAATACCGTGAATTTGTATTTTACACTGGGATAAACTTGCCATTTTTGAACTGATCGGTCTTGGATTTACAAATTCGAACCCACAGAGTTCCTTCTTTGTCCCACCTTATATCCTTCACGGTCAATTCTCCTAATTCCCTGGTCTTCTCATTGTTCGTAATCCTAGTGCCATCAACGCAACATCCCTCCTATACATCGATCCCTTTGCCAAGGGTGGGGATACATCTACATAGTGTTTTAGTACTAAAACCGGCAACAGGTCCTGAGGCCACTCTGGTGTCTTAGTCTTCACAACCTCTTTCCTTATTGCCCTAAGAACTTACATCACTGCCAACGATTTCCTAAAATCTTCTTTCCCTTTAAACTGAAGGTTGTTTATAACCACTTGTAGAACCCGCAATATTTGGAACGTCACCCCAATTACATCAAGCCACATGATAAATGCCAAGATACCATCCTCCTGCGGACTATCCACATCCAACTCAAATTTCTTACAAAACCCTTCGTACAGGGTCCAATACTTTTCCGTCTTGGCTCTATAAAACGGGAACACTGCTTCCTTTGCTAATGCCTTTGCTTTTTGGGACAAGTCTCTCACGGCCAAATGTGCACTGCCAAGAATCTGCATTTCAGGTTCCTCCAAGGTTTTACGAACCCCGAAGGTCCGGGTGCAAACGTGATCACTGACTCTGGTAGGAGCAAGGCCTCCCAACTCAGCTCCAAGAGCAGCGATCACCACTCAGCTGACGGCCATTCTAGAATCACCACCGTTGTTCTTACTCTGCAACTCTTCACGTGATGAAGTACCTTTTGCACCAAATGCAGGGGTGGGCACGTATAATTTACCTCGCTTTCTCACCTTTGGGTGAAACAATTTATCGCTTTTGTCCCGAGACAGAAATGATAGCTGTTGAACCTTCGTAACTTCATTTTCATATGGGATGCCATACAGTCAATCCAGTGTGGTCCGAAAGTCGCCTCTATCTCCTGAAAAACTTCCTTCCTAATGTACCAATCTGACGAATCCAGAACCCGGGTCCACAAATCTGCCAGGTTTTTTGCTGATAGTACCCACCTCAACTCGTAAATCCAAATGTCCTTTTCCAAACAAACCTGCCAGAGTCTTCTGTAGGCCTCCTTTTGCTACCACTCTTGCCTCCTAGTCTCATCGTCGCCAAAGCTGTACAGTTGTTGATAAAGATCAAGACCCAGGAACCCTTCAATAAGTTTGCAAAACTCTCGAGCCCCAGTAGGACTGAACTGGCTTCCAGCTTCACGATTTTCCAACAGTCCAACCTTTCCTCCCAGTTTCCGAATGCTGTTAAGCCTTCTAATTTTGTGCACCACCCGGTCGTAGAGGCATCCACGAACAGGCTCTTTACCAAAGATGGTCGCGCCCATTGTACTTCTCCAGATTTTCCGTCAACCAATGTATATCCATCTTCGCCTGGTCTGACAACCAAACCCTTTTGTTCTATTCTCAAACATTTTTGTTCGCTGAATCTAAAAGGGCATAAAACTTCAAGCAATTCACCTGTGTCAGGGCAAAGGCTCTTGCCAGACTCTGAACTTTCTCCGTGATCCTTGCCAATTGCCTTGCTGAAACCCAATCTACATCCTTTAGTGTCTTCAAGCATGTCCTCGTCTCTTCCAACTTCAACTCTGGCACTATCACTTGCGCCTTTTCTGTATCCACAAGAAGTCCATAGAACTTTATCACCTTTGATGATATTGGACTGCTCTTGTCCCAAGCCAGAATGAAGCTGCAGCTTCTTAGGTCGGGCAGGATGATCTTGTCCCGAATTTCATCCAACACAAGGGCCGAGGGGTGAGCTACCCATATATCATTCACGTGCGAACCCGTGGTTATCTCTTTTGATCTCCAATGAGCAATTAGTGCCTGAATTATCTTTGAGAAAATCCAGACTGCCTGTGACAAACCGAACGGCAGCACCCAATATTGGTACCAGTTTCTCCCCACTCGGAACCTCAAGAAGCAGCATGCCTCCTCGTTCATAAATACATGGTGGTAGCCATCCCTCAAATCTAACGTAATCATCGACCAATTCTTCCCTATCGACCTTAGTAGGCCACCTAGACCCTCAAACCGAAACGATTTTTGCGGCAGTCGTGCGTTTAGTCTCCTCAAGTCTATCACCAGACGGAAACGTTTGGGCCCTTGCTTTGGTACCAAAAAGACTGGGACACCTCCAGCAAAAGAGCCGGGCAAACTTCCGACTTGCCTACTTTTTCTATTGTACCCAATTTTTCCAAACGTGCCAATTCCTTTTCTAACTATCTTTCCTGATCCATTGTCAATGTGTAGGGTTTTGGCACCCTGCTTTCGGCCAGACTCTATACGTCTCTTGGAAATAAGGGAACCTGGTTCTTTAACCAACAAGCTACAATGGGCGGAGGGTTTATCTTCTCTATCCAATACCTCACCGCCTCCGGCTCGTAAATTCTTCCAACTACTTCCCTGCCCTGCTCTACATTGTTCGTCACCTTTTTCTCACTGCTCTCCTGTTTGTTTTCCTTCTCCCGAGCGTAGTTACCTACTTTTATCACTGCTTTTGTTCCAAAAAAATCTACTTCCTCTTGTACTTCCTTTTTCTGCAACCCTTGAGACACATACTGGAGCCATATGACCTGCGCCCCACAATAGTAACAGGTCACTTGCTTACCCGCCTTACTAAACATGCTCTGGTATGTCGGGCCCGGGTTCAGGAACACCCCTTGGTTCTGGTGAGGTTGTAATGGTGGAGTGGATGGAGCGGGTGGGGTGTACTGCGTATAAGAGTGGGGGGCAGATATGGTGCATAATAATTTGCTCTTGAACCCCAACCTCCGAATTTCTTCCCTTTGGTTTGCCAAACTCTTCGACTATACAGTATGGAATACTCTTCCTGTGATTTCGCTTGTTTTCTTGCCTCCACTAACAGATCCTTAAATTCGTTCCCCTCATTTGGTATCGGTTTTGGAATTTTCCCGGCCACGGTCCAACCTTCTTCTTCAGCCACTCTTAGAGTAAATGCTCTCAGCCTTAATCGTTCCTGCGCCTCCGCAAATTTTTCTTTTGAATCTTCCTGGATAGCTCTTTGCAGCAGAGCCCCGACGTCACATACTGAATCGTACTCATATTTGTCTTGTGCCCTTTTAAACTTCCTCTTGGGGAAGCTCGATTCAATTGCACCGACCCCGTTTACTTTCGCTGTCTACTGTTGTAAACTTCTGTCCAAAACCCTTAAATGCGAAGGGGTTAATTT